CGCGTGTGTCATTGGAAGGTCCAAACCTTCTGCGAGAGGATCCACTCAGAACCAGAATGCAGTAGATCGCAAATCTTCACGTCTGGGTTCAGCTTTGCTGCCCCAGGCGACATGGTTTGTGTTTACATGCTTGATGGTACAGGACGGAACGGTTGGTGTTTTGCGCATGAGTCCGTGTTGGAGGGATTCGGAGATTAGACCCTAAACCCTAAACCCTAGAATGGGGGTTTTAAAAGGGATACGAGGAGTATCCAGGAGTTCAGACTATGGCTGATGTGAGCAGGTACAGCTTTGGGCTTCAGATTCCGGATAGGGACGAAGAGAAACGCCCTAAGCCCTAAACCCTAAACCCTAGACCCTTAACCCTAGACCCTAAACCCTAGACCCAAAACCCATGAAGCTTTCCAGCCGTGGAATCCTATCCTGGCCGTTGCGCGCTGGTATTTGAGAATTTCAAGTGGCTGTTACTCCGGTGACCTGAAACCGCCAGCACTATGATCAGCAGTGCCGAACATCAAGTTTGTCTGCATTCAAGTGTGTGCGCTCAGCACGCTTCAGTTCTATCTGCAATTGCTGGTTGATAGCTTACACAAGGGTAGATTCCAGACTGAGTTAAACTTAAACACCGGTACTTGATTTCCCCGGTTCTTCCAAGCCAGATCCACACAAAGCCAGCGCTTCGGGATCTGGGATGGGCAAAGGAGGGATGTTTCAGAAGCTGCTGCATGCCCCTGACCTTCCTAATATATTGTTCAGCTTGAGTATCCTGAGCATCAAGGTTTCAAGCAGATCAGCTGCGAGCCTGAAGATCGCAACTTTCTTTCCCAAAAGTCGAAGGCAGTTACTTTGCTCCAAAGTCGCATGGAACACCAAACAAGGCCGCATAGCGACTAAAGGCCTCTCATCAGAGGTATTGTGGGGTTCCGTGTTAGTTGGGGAGCAAGAGCATGTTTTTTGCAGGATGCCACCACAAAAACGGCAGCAGCCGCGACTGCCAGGACTTCCAAGTCCGCCCCCACCAGCGATTGGCTTATGGTGCCTTAGACTTCGCCAAGACTCCTGTACAGCTGCTGTCGCTAAGCACAAGCGAAGTGGGCAATTCAGGGCAGGGTTGGTGGAAGGAGACGGGACGCGTTGGACGGTTCAGGGTTGTTTGCAAGTTGCAGAGGGTCTTTGATGAGACGACTGCAACATATTGCTGCGAGCGGTAGCCGTGGCCCCCGCAAAGATTATATGACGCAAGTCTCACTCTCTGTTGGCATTAACTAGCAATGCTTTGCGCAATAGTCTGCTCTGTAGCAACCGCCGTGCTTTTGGTTGGCAGCCCCTCTACAGTATTGGAAGCCAAGCTGGGAAAGAACAAGGATCAGCGTGCACCTTCTGACTTTCTACCAGCAGGCGCCGTGGGTCACTGGAGTGTGAACAGAAACAAACCCTTGCATCTGTGCAAGTCGAATGCTCTCCTCGGACTTTGCAGCTGGCAGTTTAGGGCTGCTCCTTCAGCTACTGACCTCGAAGGATCACTAACACGTCCGCCTTCCTCGCAGCTGTCAAGAGTTCAGTGCAAGCAGCGCCTACAGCGTAAGCCACGATGTTCAAGCTTGGGAACGAGAAAACAGATGGCCAACTTGCTCTTGTTGCATGTGTGGAGGCTGGTGCGTCGTTGGGAGCCATTGCCTTCTTCACCTCTACTGCCCGCTGCTTCGATGTGCTATCGGACCCGCTGATGGCTCAGGCCGTGTGCTTGTGCTGGAAGCCAATCAAATAACCTGGGGCTTCTAGGCTGAGAGCTTGACTTGCACATTCTAGCTACTAAGTTCTTTGTTGCCAGGAAATAAAGAGTCACGGAGCATTCAAACACAAATCGAGTTTCTGCCATCTTGCTCTTAGCCCTCTCCCTTCCTTAAGGCTTCCTGGCAACCTTGAACCTTCAACCAAACTGCAGATCTCGGACGGCTTCTCCTCGCGATTTGGCCGGCGGCGGCCGTGCCTTCGCAAGACTTTCTGCCAAGCAGCGCTCCTGCTGAGGGGTTTGAGGGGCTTGTCTCTCGGGCTGTAGCCAGGAGGGCTGTAGGGTTTGGTTCTACAAGCGCCAGGCTTCGTTGTTTTGCTATTCGTTTGTATATTCATGCATTTGACTAGAGCTCATTAGCTCTGCATAAGTGTATACAGTGTATTCGCATTCTCTGTGCACATGTTTATTCCTCTCTCTCTCTCTCTCTCTCTCTCTCTCTTTCTCTCTCTCTCTATTTCTGTACGCACTGTATGTATCTCTTGAGATGTAGAGACATAGAAACAGACATAGATGCAAGTGAGCTGTCGTCTGAATTCCCTAAAGGCGGGGGTGAAATATGGGGTTATACAGGGGAATATTAGAAGGGGCTATTGAGGGGGAGGCTAGGAGCTTAGACTACAGCTCAAGTAGCTTGTATACCACTGCAGCTGCATCCGTGGAATTCCCAGGTTCGTGTTTGGTGGGTGCATCCTCTATGGTCTCTGCCTCCTGGTGCCTTCGGCTTGCCAGGGTGTTTGGGGTTTAGGGTTTAGGGGTGTCCCCATGGCATGCTTAGCCTAAGCCTTGGGTGCGGCCCCCACTCTATAACAGTGGTATAATATTTAGACTGTAATTCTGTATGGGCCTTAGTATGACCCCGAATATGAATGTTGCAGGGTGGGGGCAGTACCCAGCCTAAACCTAAATCCTATATATTGTGACCTATCTTCAAGCTTACGGGCTTACAGGCAACCTCCCGCAAAACGGACTCCCAAACCTTTCCATAACCTGAGGGTGCCGAAGCGAATCTCAAAAAGGGGCTTTATATCCTGGGGTATTCCTGGGAACAATTCTAAATAACCATGGACCCATGACCCGTATACATTCCCGATGAAGCCGTATAAATCCAATTTTTATGGGGCCCTTAAAGCTACCCTGATCGGTTTGAACCGCTATATAATCCAAGTTCCCAATTCATTTTCCGTACACTTTTCCATCTGATTCCCCATTCTTGAGGTTTTCAATGGCTGCCTAAATCTCTCAAGGTGTTTCTGTAAATCCAACCTAGGCGCTTTGCATGCCGCCGGTGGCACTTTCTGGAGCTAGCACCGGCGCCTGGTTCGGGATGCTTGGCCAGCAAGTCGGGGACGGTGGATCTTGGGCACGTTTCCAGTGAAGGGCCATAGGCTCAACGTGTGACACTGGATCCTAGTTCTAACTTTCGCACGGGCACTTGGCAGCGGGCTAAGATTTTGAAATCGAAGCCAGCAGCTCTGAAAGCAATGACGGGAGCAAGATTCGCCCCAAATCTGTCCAAGCGGTTGTCTTATTCTTCTTGTTAACATTCTTTTTACACAGTAATGGCAACAACTATGATTGGTATTCGGAGTAAGTAAAATAACGTAGCAGAACCACCATCAAAGCTTTGCTTTCGCCCAAATCGTTCCAGAACAGGTGCTTCTACATCCTGTTCTTTCTGACAGATACGCCCGGCACCTAAACCGCTGCGGCCTAGGCAGTCCGTAGAAGCCGATTTTGTTCTGCACAAATCAGTGGGTCATGCACACTTGATTTAACAGTTGGTTTTGCAGGGCACGGAGGATGGGAAGCTGATTGCTTGACGGTTGGCTGGGGCTCAGTCTGCAGTCTTGCATACACAGAGTGTTTGCTGCTCTAAGGATCACATCGATTCCTCACAATGCGCTCGGTCAGGAGATCACTTCAGACACAGATCAGAGGCAGGCGCATTTCCTCAAGTTCTGCATTCAAAAGCAGGGGTGCGACGGGCGCGTCAGGGGTTTCAACTCTGCCAAGAATTGGTTACCTAGAGCAGGAAGATCCCAGTGTTTGGCATCCGACATTCCATAACTCAAGGATTTGGCTCCTTGCCGCTAGTCACAACATCCATTTCTTACCATCCGCTTAGCGTAGCCATGGCTGAGAGTCAGACCTCCACTTCCGCCGCCTGGTGCGCCTTCTATGGCATTGGCATCATCGGCACACTGCTGCTCTATGGCATCACCCAGGAGGGCATTATGACCGTGGCCTACGACGGAAGCCTCTTCCAATACTCCGTTTCTGGGTTGCTGTTAAGGAATTTAGATTAAGTTACCACAGAGGGTATATAATATATATATATAAACTAATATGGTTTACCCAATATCGTAACTTAATCATTTTTTAACAGCAGCCCAGGTTTTCCTGGTCCTATGCAACCGACTGGCGGCAGTGATCTTTGCCGTATCCATGGCAGCAGCCAAGGGCGAGTCCATGACGAACGCAGCCCCGCTTTGGAAGTACCTCGTCGTTTCCCTCTCTAACGTCTATGCCAGCTCTTGCCAGTACGAGGCCCTGAAGTACGTGTCCTTTGCAGTCCAGATGCTTGGGAAGAGCTTCAAAATGATGCCCGTGATGATCTGGGGCATCATTATCGCTGGCAAGGCCTACAGTGGCAGGGACTGGTTGGTGGCCTTGGCAGTTACCCTAGGCTGCACAGAATTTCTGATGACAGGTCCAACTCATTCCAAGGTGGATGCTGGGAACAGCTTTAAGGGTTTCATGCTGCTGGGCTGCTTCCTGGCCTTGGATGGCTTAACCTCCACTTTCCAAGAGAAGCTCTTCAAGGACATCACTGGTGATTAGTAGGAAAAAAGGAAGATAATCCCTACATAGTCCCCATATTCCCTTATTCCCCACTAACCAGCAGTAAGAGGAGCACAAGACGACGAAGTACAACCAGATGCTCTATATCAACTTGCTCTCCGCCACAGTCTCCCTGATCACTTTGCTTGCGACTGGAAGTTTCCATTTAACAGTCCAATTTTTTCCATCAGATTCTCCATGATGCAAGTTTCCAGTTTCTTTTCTAGTCCCGACGCTTTCAACCCTAAACCCCAAAACCCCTTAACCCTAAACCCTAAAGCCTTTAGGGAACTTACAGGCGACGGGCCAGCTTGCACCGGCGGTGGCATTCGGCTTCGAGCATCCGCAGTTCATGCTCGACTCTGCCCTGCTGAGTGGCTCTGCGGTTGCCAGCCAGTTCCTGGGTTGCTGTTAAGGAGCTTAAGCCCCTGAGTTCAGGCCTCATTAGGGTTGTATATATATATAAGAATTGGGGTTATATTGGGATAATGGAAAATAGAATGAAACTACTATTTAGGGTTTAGGGTTTAGGGGCTTAGGATTTAGGGCTTAAGGTTTAGGGGTCATAGGGATTCTGCAGGGGTTATGCAGGGGTTATATCGGGTTTAGAGTGAGCTGTACGTTACCATAATGGAGAATGAAACGGAAAACGATCGACAATGAAAAGGAAACTGGAGTTCTAAAGGGGTTAGGGTTTAGTGTTTAGGGCTTAGGCTTTCGGATGCTTTCGGGTTCAGAAGTTTAGGGCTTAGGTATAGGGTGTTACGTAATTTAGTTTAAGTCACCAGAAGATGGGTAAGTAGTACACAAGGGCTTCTAATAGGTTGGTTGTTGGTTTGTAAAATTCCTTAGCGTCCTTAACGTCACCCCAGGTTCTTCATCTACTCGCAGATCAAGGAGTTTGGGGCCCTGGTCTTTGCCGCAACCATGAATGTGCGTCAGGTTGTGTCCATATTGATGTCCTATCTGAAGTACCACAACCCTGTAACTGGATCAATGTTAGGGATCCTTTATACTTTTTGGGGTATGGGATTCCTTACATTTATGAAAAAAGGATCCTTTTTCTTCCTCGGGTAATGTTGGCTAAGGTAACGCACCTACAAATCCTTGGCCTGGCCCTGATCTTCTCTGCCCTCTTCTTCAAGTCCGTGGTTGCCATGCTTGAGGCCCCCTCGAAGGAGGAGAAGAAGCCCATCCTGGCTGATGCCAAGGCTGAAGAAGCTGCGGAGACCTCCAAGGATAAGGAAGATGCTGGCAAGGTGGTTTGAGTAGGTTTGACTTCTTTAGCCATAGCTCGCTGAGCACTCTGAAGGCTTGGGAAGATCAACTGTACCGGCCTTCTCTGTTCATGCAACTTTTAATTTGTTTAGTCGCGACTCCTGGAAACAGTTGCTGCAGTCAAAGACTGCTGCGGACTGCCGCGACGATTTAGCCTTATTTGCAAAAAGACAAGACTCACCAGGGAAGGGTGTTGACAAGGTGCACAAATCTGAAGATTTTGTTTCTTATGCCTTTTGCGTGATGGGAGGCGGCTGGTCTTCATGGTTGCCAAGATCTTCCAGGCACACACACATTTCTTTGGAGCAGCCTTCCGATTTTGTGGGCTGAGCTTTCAGATGCCTGAGAACCAGTAGTCCTACCACTGCTGGGATTCCGACACCTGCTGCATGCACTTGGGAGTTTTTGTGAGCTTACAAAATTGGGCGTCCGCCTTTTCCCAAAGTACTAGGGTCCTTCTTAAAACGGACAACCTATTCTTGATTTGGAGCAGGAGTGTTTTGAGGGCTCTAAACGTTTGTCGGTTTTCATCGGTCAGAAATGACATGGTACCGATCGCCAAGACCCTAAACCCCGCAACCTAAGATGTTGCAATGCGAGAGTCATGCATGCGTTGAAGCCATCTAGGTCTGGTCTTGGTCTTTTTCAGTTTTTTGGTTGTTGTGTTCCAGAAGTGCCTGCTGCCGCCAGTTCTGATTGTGAATCGATGCTAATGCGTCTGGTACTCCGCCAGTGCGATGCGCCTGTTGAAGCCCTAAGCCCTCACCATACCGCAGGGAATCTAAGCTCTGGACGCTAAGCTGCTAAGCAGGCGGAAGGTAAGACATCTTCACGTAAACGTTTTTCACCAAAGCCTCAGGCGCACAGATTTCTTGGGGGTCAGGGGGACTTAGTAAGTAGGATAGTAAGGGGATAACTAGAGTTATATGGCTTATAGGTGTAATTAACTTACTAACCACCCTAGCACCTATACCCTAAATCCTAAATACTTGGGTAGTTACCATTTTCTTTTTCATTCTTACTATATTAACATACTTACGAAGTCCCACTGTCCCTCCAAGTAAGCCATGAATCTCTCTGCGCAGATCCTGCGCATGTAAGCTATAGTCTAAACTCCTTAGAAGGGGGTTATGTA